CGATAATCAAGTTAGCATAAAAGGTAACTACATGCAACGTGATGAACCATGCCGGACAAGAGGAGAGCTTGACAACACATGCAGAAAAGGCATCAACATAAATCATTATAACCCCTCTATGTTGGACATGAATCCCCATAAAAATATCGACCTAATATACTAATGCACAAGTCCACAACCGGTAAACACACAAACAAAAGAATGCTTGGCTAGAGCACAAACCAAAGAACAAAAATTAGGACATAAATACCCTAGCCCTAGTTTAGCGAACCATCTAAACACAATGTGGCCTAATCAAAACATCTAAATGTGTGTGCACATTGTGGGTAAGGGCTACCATATGAGCATGACAGGGTCGCCAACATTGGCCCTATCCTAAAAATTAAAGGGATCTAAAATATGACTCTAGGGGATGACATTTTAAAAAAGAGTTGGACTAAATTATGTAAATCTTAAAATAGAATGGACAATATAAATAAGAAAAATATCCATTTTTATATTTTAAAACATTGGAACATTAAATGTGGGTTTGTAATATGCAAGTGATGCACTTTAAAGCCCTTAGAACTTTAGCACGGTCATACATATGCGGGTCATAATACAAAAACTTGCATATATTGCGAGCAATGCTTTTTTAAGTATTACGATCAACAACTGAGATACTCATCTAATGAGTAGGATTTGTCATCAAGGCAGCTAGGTGATGCACATATAACATGCAACAAATCCAATAGATTGTGATTGTTCGATTGAGATATGAATGATCATAATGAAAACAAAAGAGTCAAATCACACATCATGCAAATGCATATGCAAGAATTTCACATGCGCATGCCACATAAAAACCATGTCTATCGAGTACTGGCCACCTATAAAAGGAATTACACTTTGCTCGGAAACTGACCCGGGTGTCATGCAACAAGCATACAATACTTGGATGATTTTGCATTGAGTATAGGGCACCTATAAAAAGAATTACTCTTTGCTTGAGATGCGCTCAAATGAACACATTTATACATTCAATCAATGCACAAGGTTCCCAAGGCAAATGACAAACATACAAAATATGCTGAATGTCAGATATTATAGGAAATGTGATTCATGTCAACTTAAAATCACACGCCTAGGCAGACAAACATTGTTCCTCACACGATTTCAGTGGCTAGAAATCATGACTTGTATTTGATGTAACGTGAGGTACCTATAGCACTCCTTAACGGTGTCGCATGAGGTAAGGTAACACATCTCTCGTTAAAGAGGATTGTGCAGCGGGTGGATTTATGTGCACGCCGCCTCCTCATGGAGCACCCTCTTAAAGTGAATTTTTGGGGCTAAAGATCAAGAGGAAGAAGAAGACAACTTTTCTCCTTTCTCACCCTCTCATGAGCTCTTCTCCAGAAGGATCAAAGATCAACCTTGCTCCCCTCTCCCTTCCAAAAAATGGCCAATCTCCTCTCTTAAAACTCTATCTAAAAACCCCTAAAAAAGGTCATCATCCATTTTTGCCTCCCTAATGCATATCTTCCCTTTGCTTAAGGGAATCATGCACTTTTTGGCTGTTTGGGGGCTTGGGTTGGCCTCAATTTGGTTTAAATCGCAAAAAGATCATGACCTTGAAATAGTTGGGGTGTTTTTTAAGCGCGAGGACCGAATTGTTACTTTCTGCTCTCTCGGTTTTTGTGGTTGTTGGATGTTTTTTTGGGCAGCTAGGTGCTCAGACTGGGCAACTACTTGCAAGGCTCTTAGGTTTAGGCCTATAAACCCCAACCCTTGCGAAAAGTGTCTGGTAAAGAGCTTCATCCATCCGTAAGGTACAAGAGACTATGTATGAATTAACATGATCCTATAACTTTAAAAATGAGTATTTTTATAGGCTTGATATCAGAGATTTTAATGTCAATGGGAGTCATTAACCACTATGCGGGTGTATCGTCCAAACCCTAATTTTCCAGAAATGCATATGAGAGAGTTTTATAGATTTCTTGAGTTATGGGAAGCTGTGCATGAATGTTATGTGATACCATATTACTCGAAAAGATATCCAACGCGCGTAACATCAAAAATTGATGCCACCTTAAAGGTAATGTGTTTTCACTTCTCAACCTGACTGACCAAGCATATGCTTTATACACTTAGGTGGTTTTGTTTAGCGTGTTTAAGGTGTTAGAGAAAGCCCCAACCTAGACAAGATCATGGGTCCTTTATGGTATGATTTGACTTTATAGAAGGATCGTTTGTCTTTCTTATGCTACGTAAACCTTTCTATCATACCTCTGGCGGATATAAGTCGAACAATACATTATTCAACCTGGGTAGGGTGAAAAGAGCTTAAATGTTTCATTCTCTTGACTTTAGAGCTACAAAGCCTTTCTGAACAATGCAAATCCCATGTTGTTGAAAGGTGGTATCTGATCGGGTTGGATTGACTACCTTCATAGCCAAATAGACTTAGAGTCTCAATAGTCTTGGATGATGGATCTGATGTTGACCAGATTATTCCTATTTAATTAGGATCGAGCCTCACTCTCAATTCTTGCTTTCATCCTTCGGGATATATACAAGATTTGAGGTAAAACGCTCTTTCATTTAAACTATGAAAATTATGGGGTCAGTTTGACTTCATCTTTTTCAAAACTAAATTTTTTTTTAAAAACGTCATTCCGAAGCGGGCAACGGGATTTCAATTCCGATGACCGACAGCTTCTTACGGGCAAAGCCCACACCAAAAATAGTGCCGAAACTCCATCAATAAGAGTTTCCCCTTGCTAAGACAGAAAAAAATCACCTTGGGAACTATTTTTTATGGAGTCATAGCAAGCAAGCATAACTTCTTTTATCAAGAGTTTTCCTGAGTACCCCCATGATGGAATTGAAAACAATGATACATCATTGTGGGAGATCTATTTAAACTCATAATAAAATATTTTTGATTTTGTATTATGATTTGGTTATATAGGTTTTTCTATAGAATCTTTATTATATATTGTTTCGGGTCAAGTATGATTTGATTTACTTTAGTTTACTCTTCTTTGATTTATATTATGGAGATTTTCTTATATAAATATCTTGTTGATACTCATTTTGTTTCTTCTTAGTTTTTTTACATATTCAAACTTTCCTTTCTTACTTCATTATTATTTTTTTTTAAGCTGTGACCTATGGAGGAGAATCTGAAGAGGACGAATGCTAAGGTCGTTTTGACTAGAACAAGAAAGAGGCGCAAATAGGCAAGGGACAAGGTGTTTTTTAATATCATAAAAAATTAGTTTAACATCTCATTGCCAATTTCTTGATCGTTCTTAATTTCCTTAACAATGTTTTGTTTAAGCGTGAATACATTTGGATAAATAATTTAAAAGTAGCTACTACATAGTCCTTAATGTGAATCTCTCAATTTCTTAACATGTAAATTTTTATTATTCCTTGTCAGATTCATGAGATTATGAAAGGTGTCTGATTTACTAGAATTGTTATAATAACATATTACTATTTTTGCTCATGCTTCGTAACTGAATGCTGATTTTTAAAGATATTCTAAGCTATTGTGTTTCACTTATTGCTTTATCCTCTTGCCTTAGAATTTTATGCATGTACTAGCACAAAATCTATGCAAGCAAAAATGTAACCCTTCTATAATTTATAACAAATTGATCTCAACAAAATGTCATTATTGCATGCTTATACATTTGCGTTAATAAGCCTTTTATGTATTGGAATTGCACAATAATCCATTGATAGAACAAGAAAAAGCTTAAGTATTGCAGCAAGTTTTACATGAAAATTCAAAATGAAGGAAAAAAAAAAACCAGTGGGCATACTAGTGGATATAATCCACTAAATAGATGTTGATTACAAGACTTTACCATTCTTATTAATTAGAGAAGGATGCATTATAATATTTGGATGATTGGTCTTAAATTTTCTTAATATTGTGAAAAATAGCTTAAAAATAATAAGGAATAAGAGATATTAATGTTGATTCATGACAGGAGATGGTGTATGAAGCATTAATTGGCAAAATGTGATGATGGTAGGAGACGACAGACATGTAACAACAGTCCGATGACAATAATCACTCGCTCATAGTTGGGTGATGATCAAATGTTAACGATCGGAGAACTATAGTTGGGCTATGACAATTGGGTTGCAACGATAGACAACGACAATTAGAGATGTCGCTTGCTAGCGGTAATTATCGATGCCTATTATCTAGAAATGCTATCTAATTATTTAGATTTCTAAGCCATCAATACATTATAGTTTAGATATCTCGTTCACATGTGAAGAATGACAGTTTATTTTTAGAATTTTGAGCAACATTTTGATTATGTTTTCAAAATACCAAATCACTTTTCATAGAAGACTTGTGTTGATTTACTTAATCACATAATAATTATTAGATATTTAAGTGCATTAAGGATCTAAAAATAAATGATATTGGAATAATTAAAAAAAAATACTTTCTAAAAATAATTTAAAAAGCTTCAAAAAGATAGTACTATGAATTTATGAAATTTCATATTTATGGCGTGAATTTTGCCTCCGATTCATCTTAAATCTGGATTTAATAAATAGAGCTATGAAGTGAATTTAATAAATCCATATTTATTAATCAGAGTCATTCTTTAAGCCAAACACACCCTTAAACTGAAAATTCAATTTTTATTTCATTTCTAATGCAATTTTCAAATTGTCAGAGTAGATTTTATTTTCTTCAATTTTTATTTCATTTCTAATGCAATTTTCAAAGTAGATTTTATTTTTGAATTAAAATATTAATCTTAGAGCAAATTCATTTTTTTAACCTCCTTGTGATAAATGAAAATCTCATTTATTTAGGATTTGTTTGGGACAGCCTGTACGTTTTAAAATAAACTATTTATCTTGAAATACGGTATTGTAAAAATTTAAATACAACATTCAGCATTTTAAAAAACACACAAACGAAATGATTATATATATTTTCAAAAACACCACAACATTTATAGGGTTGAACTTAACATTAGCTTATGATACACTGGACCTAACATGAACGCCGAAATATCTGCGGCCGATGAGTAACGGATGGGGTAAAGAAATGCAGTGGGAAGAGTTTGGAGCCTTTGTGGACGATGGAGAAGAACAGTACGAATCTACAATAGATCTCGATCTCGCCCTCTTATTAAAGCCGAAGGTAACCTAAACCTAACACGCAGTGACTCCCTTTCTCGATTTGTTTTAGGTGTTGGATTGTTTTCCGATGCGTTTGAGTTACCGGATGATAGATAGTCTTTGAGAAAATCATGGAGGTTTGTGTACTGGATGGTTCTTAGTACGCAGGGAACGATGAAACATTGTTGCGTTGTTGCACTGTTTTCATTGTCTGCGTTGAGGTTGAAGATTTTGTTCGGAGTTGAATGTCTTTCTGAACAAATATGGCTGAGGAAACAAGTAGTATATGGGGAATTTTAGGGCAGTATGTTGCAGGGGATTCCTCTTGTTTACAGTTTGTGTTTGTGGATGAATGCATGGGGCCATGGCGAAGTGGAAATCGGAGGAACGATGATTGTATGGATGAAGAGAGTGAACAGTGAAGAGGTGATGAGAAAGCTTTGGAATATAGAGACGTGGGAAGAAAATAATTGCTTCGTTGATTTGGAATGGATTGTGAGTTGATGAGAAATTTTTTTCCTCTTAAATATTTTAAACTTAGATTTCCGCAGTTTTAGCATTTAGTCAGATTTTGTGGAGTAATTATGATAATTTTTATTGCATCTTTATTCAGCTTCATCATTAGTTGCATATAATATTTTCTTGTATAAAAATACTGTTAAATTTTTCTAACATTGATATAAAAATTGTCTTTTTATACGTATTATGGCCTCTTTGCAAAACTTTATATGATGATGTAATAGCATGTTTGCGCTTAAATCATATTGTGGGCATAATTGTTCATCTTAATCAATATTATTTATTTATTTTTATTTTCTTTACTTTTGCACCCTGAGGAGTTTTTATTTACCATAGAGGTGTCTATGTTTATGCAAACTTTAGTTGATCTTGTGTAACTTCTTCTTGTGTAGGATTATTACCGAATTTTGGAAGTTAAGTATGATGCCAATGAAGAATGCATCCGGTCCAATTATATCCGTCTTGCATTGGTTTGTTTTCCAACCAGACATTTTTTATTTTAGACGCATTTACATACATACCACATAATTCTTATGTATTTATATATCGAACAGCCAAATATTCATGTTTACATGCATACCGCTCAGATCTTTAACATCTCATCAAAAATACCACCATCACTATCTTTTTAAATGTGAAATGCATCTTTCATGCGCACGTTCAAGTGGCAACAAGGTGTTGTAAGTGTAAATATCAAAATTTGGGTGTTAGATATGTAAATACATAAGTATTTTGTGGTATGCATGTAAATTTCTTTCTATTTTGCTATTTATTTTGAAATTATCTTATACTTAGTGCGTGGTGGAAGGTTGAAAGGTATTGTGATCATATTCATATAGCTTGTGCCATTTCCTTGTCATATTATGGGGAAGCATTTATTATGGTTGAAAACTGCATGTTCACAGGCATTGTCTAGTTTGACGTTTTTAAATTTTCAATTTACTTGCTTTTTATTCCCAGTGTTAGTTTGTGTCACCATAGTTGTCTTGACTGTTTCTACTTGATTGCCTAGAAATGGCACCCAGATAAAAAGAAAGGTGAAGACTGTTCAACGACAAAGTTTCAAGAGATTAATGAAGCATACAAAGGTGATCTCCTAAGTTTTGTTAAAGTATTCTTTTTTCAAAACATGATTCTCACATATTCCATTACTTGTCAAAGTGCATACTTCATGAGTCATGCACATTTTATATTGATATTTGTGTTACCAGTTTTATGAATTCAAATTGCATTTTCGCCATGCATATTGAACTTATTTATTTACTTGGTATGCACCATGAGTGCAAACTGGAACGATCCAAATGGTCATTCATATAATTGGTCGCAAATTAGATGTTTCACGACCCACTACTAATATTTTTCATTATAGAACAAATAAAATACGATTCAATATACTAGCATTGCTTATTACAGTTGTCTTAGCTTTGCTGGGTTATGTTATTGTTTGCCTCAAGCCTATTTCTTAGAATTCTGAAGTAAAATTTCTTTGAGGGCATGCATAAAAAGGCTTGATTACATGCCTTCTAATGTGGAAAGTTGACACATTTAAGTCCGCTTTGGCAATGATGTTTAGTGTTGTATTTATTGTATTACAATGTGATATGCTGCCAAATAAAGTGGACGACTATTGTGGTTGGCTTCTAGTATTACTACTATTTAACTATTATTGAAGGTCACTGTTGAATTCTATAGAAGCTTTGATATGGACAAATGGTATGACTGTAAAATTTCGACAAAACAGTAATAAAAAATTACTGTGAAGTTTTTTGGAGACATAGAACAACAAAAATGACTATTATTGATGTAAAGAAGCACAATAATACACATGGCAAGACACCACATGAGCTGCCAATTCTAGGATATAACTGCTAGGAAAATGAAAGGGCTAGCTCAATTTTCACAAAAGAAAGAAACTCCCAATTCTAAAAATACTTCTCTCTTATTCATAGAACAACCCATATTTGTAAGCACTAAGCCCCCCCTTTTTATAAGTTTGTCATCCAAATGGAAAAACACATAAAAACAAAGAGCTAAGACATAAAAATTGAACTTTAACATAATGTGGACAATAGTTGTACTGACACTCCCACATCAAACTTGCGATTAGAATGATAAAAAGATTGTTTTATTGTAAGAGTAAATATAAAAATAGTCCACCGACTATTCATATGTTGCCAATCTAGTCTCAAATTATCTTAATTTACCAATTTAGTCCATCAAATATACAAATTGATAAAAAATATTACTGCATGCGAAAATTGTAATACAAAATTTATCTCAAATTAACTGCCCCTCACCCCTCGTGACTATACAAAATTGACCTCAATTTATTCATATTGACCATTTCAGACTAATTTTGTATAACCGAGGAACTAAATTGTACAAATGTAATATTTTGAAACTAAATTGGCCTCATATGAATATTGGGAGGATCATTTTATGATTTAACACTTTTATGATATTGTGAACAGTCCTTGTTGATTATTTTATTAGAATTTTGGAGGAACTATTGGGGCAGACTGAGATTAAAGAGATGGAGATAACAAAATAAAACTAATAGAGTGGAGAGAATAAAAGGCAAGAAAGGTATGGGAACATCGATGATTGATTATTGTACTCATCCTTTTAGTAGTAAAAATCTCTTTGTGGAGCCTTTTAACTGAGTGGGATAAACTCATTGAACCACACGATGTAAAATATTTTATATATTAATTGCAAGATTGTAGTTTATTTTTCATCGTCAATATTGCTCACGCATGGTGTATTTTTTTCATTAATTGGCATTAGGGAGGTCTTATAGTGGGAGCAATGGTCACGGAAGATGGAAAGGTAAAGATTAAAAAGAAAATATTTTTATATTAAAAGGCTAGTGCAAGGACTCTTATTTGAGAGAGAGAGAGAGAGAGAGAGAGAGAGAGAGAGAGACTTGGTTTTGATGGTAGAGAGAGAGAGACGGACTCTATGATGGTAGAGAGAGAGAGAGAGAGAGAGACTTGGTTATGATGGTTTTTTGGTTGATAATCTTATCTGTTTGTTTGTCACTAGGCTTGATATATTTTTGTTATTTGTGAAGTTAATCAGCGCATGCAAATTTCCTATAATCAAGTTACATTTATATTGTTAGCAATCTAGTTATCTACTGAAGGGCTAAATATTTTGAAGTTGATTGTCATTTTATTGGGCATATTTAGTCAAGGATCATCACTCATGATCCGAGTGAATAACAATTGACTGAAATATGTATCAGGAATCTAAGATTTTTTCATTGTTCAATCCTACGCAACTACCGATTTCTAGCAAATTTAGTGGCTACGACTTGAGAGGCAGTGTTGGTGGAAGGAAAATATAAATTTAATGAAGTTTTTCATGTATTTAGTAAGTCATATATGTTTATTGTTTGTATTTTAGTTTTTTTTGTATTTATTCCTTTATTATGAATTGAATTGAAGGTCTTCTAGTGAGTGATACATAATCTGTAAACCATATCGAAATGAAAAAGAAATTAATGGATGAAGCCCTTAGGAAGAAGTTTTTAAGAAGAATAGAATGATCAAAATTATTGTTTTTAAATATCAAGGTTTAATGGCCTTTTGAAAAATATTTAAAAATTTTAGTTATATATGAAACACTAGTTAGAGAGTAATTTGATTTTTTAAAGTAATATTGTAGAGAAATGTTTTTTATTTAATGACAGAATGGATTATAAATTATCAAATAATTAAAGAAAATACATTTTGCTATCTTCATTGAGCTGCGAGGAAGGTGTTAAGATTTGTGGTAATTTTGCTTATGTTTCATAAAATAAAATTGTTGGAGAGGGTGATTTAACATTGACCAATACAAATTACTTTGTGTTCGAGGTTAAATTTGCTATTTTTATGATTTTGCGTTATGAGAAACATTGAAAGAAGTATAAAGAGCAATATAATGATATTACAAATTTTATTGTTATTGAAAAAACTTGATAAAGTATAATGAGAATCTATTTGATGGGTAATAATGTATATGCATGCATCAAAGATATGCCTCAGCTATTTAAGAAGTGTATGCTGCGATGTATAAATTTGAAAGTAGTTCTGATTTGATTAAAATGTTTTTTAGAACATGCTACATGAATGATCAACTTAATGTTCTTTTCTCATTATGTATTGTGTACAGAGATGTTTATAGAAGATATGTAAGATATAATATTCACATTTTATATATTTTTTCTAGGTGTGAACATTTTCATAGTTAGTAAAAAGTTTGGCAGATTTAAGATTGAGTACATAACATGTCATTTTATTTGATGTGAAATTAATGTTTTTTAAGGGCATCAAGTGATATTTAAATTAAAAAATGATTTTTAAGGGCGTCAAGTGATATTTAAATTAAAAAATAAAAAGAAAAAAGTGATAATTAAATAGTGTTAACTCCCAAGTAATTCCTCAATTATTTGTATGCATCCAAATTTGTCTTATGAGTATAAAAAATTTCCAATTTAGTATCTTGTCCATACAAACTTGATTTGAAATGGTCCCTTAGAGACTTAATTGAGATCAATTTATACAGTCAAGTGACTAATTTGGAATTAAATTTTTGTCACAATTTTTATTTGAGAGATCATTTTGGATCAGTTTTGATAGTCGTGATACTCCAAATCTAAATTGGTCACGCATGAATTGTTTGGAGGAAGTTTTAGATTTAATCTTATCTAAATGTGATAGGCTTAATTTGTTTTAATTTTTTACATGATAATTGTTATAGAGGCATTCCTTTATAATTAAAGCTTGGTTGGTAAAATAAAGAAGTGTTATATGTTTTTATATGATAAAATGAATTTCGACAGGTATGAGGAGATATTTTATAGATTGCAATTAGATTGGCAATATTTTTCATATAGAGTATTGGCTAAGAAATTAAATTACAAATTAAATTGTAAAAATACTAAAATGAATATGTGTGAAGTTATGAAGGTAGTGGGAAATGTTGTATCTGAGAAAAAAATGGGAGTAACTCTTACTGAAGTGCAAAATAAAATTTGACCTTTTTTTTACTTGTACAACATAGGGCAAACTGTGCCAGTGGACGAGCAAGTAAAACTGAACGTTGGGTTGGGAGGGAAATTGAGCTAGAATTTGTGTGAAAGGTCATGCTACCGATTTACAGAATGATGTGGGTAAATTTGATTTGACAACTCATGTGCCATTCTACAAGAATAAATATAGAAATATTCATAAAGTTGCCTACGAATAGTTGGGATAAAATAATATAATTAATGATGATGGTAATGACTTTTTTTTTTCAAAATAAGTTGTATGTTATTATAAATTTTTGTTTAAATAAACAAAAAGGATGATAGTATCGCTTTGTGAAATTACCAATTGAGATGTTTAATCATGAAATTAGTTTGGAAGAGTTAAAGTTTATGTAGTAAAGTTTATTATTTATTAATAAAAAATATGAATTGGAATTGGCTTTAAGGAAGATGCATAGGCACATTATTTTAGGTCTAGATGAAATGTATATTGAGATTTGGAGAGTGATGGGTGATATTATAGTAGTTTGTTTTATACTTTTTTAATAGACATTTGAAGACTAAGTTGATGCCAAACAATCAAAGAAATTATTTTTTACTATTAATATTTAAAAATAAAATCAATGTTTAAGATGATGTTAAATATAAATGAATAAAATTAAATGAGTGATACAAAAAAGCTATGAGAGCAAGTAATTGATTATATACTTAGAAAATTTCATTAGTTTTAGAAAACAATTTTGATTTCATGCCATGAAGACTACTATGGGAATGATTTTCATATTAAGATAATTAATGTAGAAATATAGAGAATATCTAAAGGATTTTCATTGATATTCACAGGACATATGATCAAGCGTAACATAAATTACTTCAGTATGCCTCAAGGTAAAATGTCGTCATGGATATTTCGACATTATTAAATAGTTTTGTGATAGAGAACTGACTAGTTTAAGTAGTTATTTAGTGGTCCAAGAGTTATGAAGTAATTTAGGTTTATGTCAAGGATTAACATTGAGTCCATATCTTCTTTTATTATTTATAGAGATGCTTGCAAGGTAAATTTAACAC